TTCTTCCTCTCTCAGGCTTTGAACAGATGCCAGTTAAGACACACCATTGCCCTCTGGCAGTTCCTCTCTGCGCACAAGTCAGAACAGCTGCTGCGACTGAAGAAAGTGAGTCTGGCCTCTGCCTGCTCAGGATTGGGAGAGCCACACCCTTCTTCCCAGGCTTTAAGGTTGCACTTGCTCCTCTTTCATTCTAGGAGCCGTTTCGGGAAATCAATTCAAGGTACAAAGCAGACCTTAGCCCAGAACACTCCAAGCTCCTAGGCACTTTCCTGAATATCTCAGGCCTGAATACCTTCCTCCTGGAGCTGCACGAGATGATGGTGGTAAAACTCAGGAGCCTCCAAACCCACGACAGCTTCAACCCCGAGTGGAGGTAAGGACTCCACAGCTGCTGACAGGATGGTGGGATGTCCGGCTAAAGCCCTGGGCCTCCCAGACACACAGTTCCCTAGGAATACACACGCATGCACGTGCACACACACACCCCACACCGGGACTTTCCAGACATGCAGCTTAGTCTTTTCACACAGGACCTTCACCTGCTACTTTCCACTACTAGTGCACTGGGCTCTGGCTTCTTGGTTTCAGTCTCTTGAGATTTAAAAAAAAAAAAAAAAGTACAAAAGTCATAGATTCTGCTGAGAAAAGTGGACTGTCAAAGAGATGTGCATTTTAAATTCGGTAGGAAAAGCTACCCCCATGTGTAAAAGCTGTAGGGGAAAAAAAAGCAGTATTTCATCCGTTTTTTTACCTCTGTGCCAGCCTAATGCCCAAAAACTGGCATTCTGCTTTTCTGTACTTCCCTAGTGTGTGAGGGTATGTTATTGTATTAATCAGCAGTTTATCATCTTTTGAATTATCTCTTGATAGTTTTGGGTTATCTTGTTTTGGACTCCCTACCTCTCAATGATTTGTAAAAGGTCTTTGTTCAGAATAGAAATAAATCTTATCTGTATGTGTTATAAGTGCTCTAACTCAGGCTGTAATGCTCCATCTCAGACAGAATTTTCCCATAAAGCCTCTGTAGGGAAATACACTTAACATAAAGGTCTTCCTTATAATGCCAAGGTTAGAACACATCACTCCATGCTCTCTTCTGCTGCTTTTATAGTTCTATGTTGTACAGTTATTTTGTGGACAATTTATTTTTATGTGTAGTGGGAAGCAGAGATTTACCTTTAATGGGTCTCTTTTCTTGTTTATTGGTGGGACTTGGGTCTGAACTCAGGGCTAAACACTTGCAAAGTAGGTGCTGTACCACTTGAACCACACCTCCAGTCCATTTTCCTGTGGTCATTTTGGAATAGGGACTCATGAACTATTTGCCCCTGCTGGTCTCCTCCTGGTATCAGCCTCCCAAGTACAGGCGTGAACCACAGGTGCCCAGCTTTTTTTTATTCTTTTTGAGACAGGGTCTCCCTCTGCCACCCAAGCTAACCTAGAACTAGAGATCTTCCTGCCTCAGCCTCCCATGTGCTGGGATTGTAGGTGTGTTCCACCATGCCCAGCTACTTTTATCTTTTCTCTAAATAATTGAGCTGGTCTCCTCATCAACACATTTTATGTTTGCAATTTTCTTCCGTTATGCTATATGGCGTACACCTGTACATACATGCAATTTCTTTGCAGTTATGTCTCAAGTCTTTACTGTCCTGGACTTGTAACGTCCTAGAAGATTTATAATCTTTGTTAATATACAACACAAAGGAGAACACATGCTCTTTGTGAGTGGTAAGGCTTTCTTTACACCCAGCCCAGAAGACTGCAGTAGTAGAGTCTGCAGCCACCTGGCTGGGCTTTGTCCAGGCTGGCTCCATCCACCCAGATCCCTGAGCCCCAATTCCAGCCCCACTTCAGGAGCTCAGCATTGGGCTGGCCTTAAGTTCAGTGTTTCTGTCCACCAGTAACTGGGAAGAGGGATCACTGATTGAGTTCCTGATGTTGTCAACAGTATCTCTTGTGCTCTGACTTTTCAGCCTGAGAGACACTCTAGTAAGTTACATGGAGACTAAAGAGAGTGATGTCCTTCCTGAAGTGGCGCTCCAGTTCCCAGAAGAGATTCCACTGTCCAGTTGCGTCTCGGTGTGGAAAGCAGCTGCTGCCCGGAAACAGGACCGACAAGCAAGATAGAATGGCTCTGTCTTTGAATATGACTGGAGAAGTGGCTCTTTTGCCCTTACCCTGGCACAGATAGCACCAGGGACTATGGCCTTTGTGTGTACTGAGGAAGAATGTGTTGGTGCAGCACCGAGTTCAAGGCCAGCCTGCATCTGCACTGTATGCATAGACAGCTTTTTGAGAGCCAAGCTGTTTCTAGAATATGTACACATTCATATGCAAACTTACATGATAAACACTGTTCACTGGAAGATGACAGTGACAAGAACATGAAATTAAAAATCAAGTACTGTCCCATGCATTCCAGGAGAGACAAAAAAGTAGCGTTTTAGCAATGGTCCCATCCAGAACCGTCTCTCAAGCCTGCCAGGCTCTTACCTCGTACTTCCTGGCCACCAGGGCCCTTCTGCCTCACATTACTACTTAGAAGGAGGAAAGCACAGGGGTATTTCACTGTTCTATGCTGCACATACAAGAGAACTGATTTTCTCCTTTCTCCCTGTCCTTTAACTTCCCAGAATTGTACACATTTGTTGGCTCCCAAGAAGGTATAAAAAAGTGCCACACTCCTTTCACCTTCTCACAAACACAAGGAAAGCCAGATGTCTACACATGCCTTAAAGCCATATAAACAAGAATGACCAGACCCCACAATGCGTCACTGCCAAATCCCAAAGGGTCAGAGCCAAACTCTATGCAGAGCATGAGAATGCTTTCTGAGTCTTAAGTTTTTCTATGAATAAAATGGATAGAAGGCTGGTGGAGTGGCTCAAGTGGTAGAGCACCTACCTAGCAAGCATGAGGCCCCGAGTTCAAACCCCAGTGCTGCCAAAAAAAAAAAAAAATCTATAAAATGAAGAGTTGATTGACAGCCAAAGCGCCTTCCAGTTCTCCTATCTTGATTCAAATGAAGGATTAATTCAACTTGGATCAAAGGTGTATTTTGAGCAATGCCAGGGAGAATTTTTTGGTTGTCTAGCATTAAGCCCAATAAACATGCAGTCTTGGAGTGATCTCAGCTTCCTCCTTTCTTTGAGTCTTAGTCAAGAATGAGACTCAGAATACAAAACCACTTATGTTTCTGAAAAAGGGAAACAAAAATGGCTCACCCTGATCTTGTGCTGCTTTTTCTCACTATAAGCACTGTCGCTTTTTCATCAAAATCTTTGATACCCTTGATGTCTCTGGACTGACTTACGCCTGGCAGCCTGGCAGCCTGGCCCTCATTCAGGGCTCAGTGAGATTCAAGGAGAGCCAGTGCAGCTGAAGACAACATCCTTCATACACATCTCAAATGAGTCAGCGACTCAGTTAACCTCGAATCTCAGGCCTGTGTACCTCTGCACTACAAGAATACAAAGGGGTGACCATGAGCAAAGCCATGGGCACTGTGAGCATCCCTGCAGGAGACACAGCAGGAGCTGCAGTCCATTCTGACCGTCCCCATGATGTCTGATCCAGAGTGCAGCAACTGGACCCAGGTAGTGACTCATTCCATGATTTCTACTTTCATTTAGCAATCCACGATTGTCTTTTTATTCCAGACTATGCAGAGCCACCCCTATCCCAGACACCCACTTCCTGGAGTGCCCACTGAATTGATACAGGGGGTGGGAACAGGGCTTGCTGAACTCTTCATCTTGGCCTTGGAGCAACTTTGATACCTCAGAGTTGGGGGTGCAGCTCACCCTGGCCATCAGGTGGCAGCTCAGGACCAGTTTTTCACTGGGCCACACCTTAGCAAGTGGGAGTCAGGGTTGATCTCTTTCTGTGAAAACCTTTTCCCTCCCTTTGGCCTGGGAATTCTTTCTATTATGAAGGGTTTTTTAGTAAGGTGTTTCATTTTATATGCTATGCTTACAAAGCCTTAACTGTGATATCTAGCATCATTTTGTGTGTACAGAAATACACTGGCAAAAGTAAATTTCATTATACCTGTCATACCTATTTTAATAAACTTGAGTTTTGCTGCTAAAGACTCCTTCTGTTTGTGGGCAGAGCTTTTATGGCACACAGACCTCAGTGAGGTTTTTGGGAATGGCTTTGGTTTTCCATGGAAATGTTCTTGTAGGAGTAACCATGGAGAATTCAGAATAGAAAGCCTATGCTCTGGTTCAGAAGCTTTTCCTGTGGGCAAAACAACCACAGAGCTCCTTGTTCACAGTGGGGTTGGCACTGCTCCCCATAACCAGGCTCAGTAAAGGCCTAAGCCTTGGCCTCAGGGGAGTCCTCTGCCTAAAGAGACTGCTGCAGTCTCTTCAGCTTCAGCTGCCCACAGTGTAAGGATGAGAACTAATTAACCCAGTGAGTGGGGCTGTGAGACAGGGAAGACTCGGGTAATTTGAAATAAAGGCAGTGAAAGAGGAACAGAAATTCAAACACCGTTCCTTTCCTTAATGGTTATAAGCATATGCCATTTGTTAACTGTGACAGCCATGAGCTACTTCAATTGTCTGTTTATGTTTGGGTAGTTCCAACTGAAAAACTTCCATGAGAAACAGTTGCTGGAGAAAGCATCAGCTCAACGGCCCAGCCAGGCAGGGAAAGTTACCCAAGTCTAGCTATGCCATGTGCCCTGGTGCCAATGGAAAACACTGCTGAGTGATCAAGTGAGTCTGGACAGAGTACTAATGGGCAGGAGAAGCTGAGGCCCAAGTTGAACACCAAGTGATTCAAGCCGTGATGAGCAATTCTGTGGCATCCTGCACTCTTCTGGTCCCTTAGTTCACTAATTAAGCCTGTTCTTGAGCACTTGGAATCCCCCCACACCCCGTGTCAGACTTCTCTGTGGATATTCTGGGAACAGTGGGCCCTGCTTCCTTTGGGAACGGTGGAGGTGTTTAAGAGAGCCATCAGGGGCACACACAGCACATGCAGCCATCTCCACTACCCTGGAACTGCTCCTGCTCAGCACTCCGTGGCCTGCCCTTCCCGCACAGACTTACCAATCAGTATTCCTTCCTGATCATCACCTGAACCCTAAAGTGCATAAAACCTCAGCCCCGACAACAGCTAGTTCCTGAGAGCCACCTTTGCCCCAGATCCACAGGCCGTTGGTGGCTCCCAGTTACCAAATCCTGGGACCTCTTTGTCCTGACCATGCTGTAACACAACCAGGCTGACACATGACAGCCCAGGCAAACCTGAGTGAGGGTGCTGACTCTCCTGGTTGTCAGTCTGATGACCATGACCAAGCCACCTGCCCTCCTGAAGCCTCAGTTTCCTCATCTGCAGAATGCCTCAGATCTGTGGTGAAAAATAAGACAGGCTAGGTAAATAACAGCACAGAGCATGACATGTACTGAGTGTGTGAGAAGTGGAGCTCGCTGCCCCTCTCAACTCAAAACCTGCCAGCTTTCAAGGCCCTGTCAGTAGTCAGTGCTATAAGGAAGCCTTTCCCAAACTTCTAGTTCTCATTAGTCTAATGTAATCGTCTTCTGTATTTTCCTCTTGAAACCTAGATTCAGACTACATTACTTAGACACATACTTTTCTGAATCTAGAATAAAAACAAAGGTGAAAGCACTACACTTCTGCCTTACTGGCTGCCTTTCAGTGCCGCAAATGCATTAACTTCTTTCCTGCCTCAGGAACTTTGTACCTCTTGCTCCCTCTGCCCCTTCCCCTTCGGGTCTTGAAATTATCACTTCCTCACGGAGGCCTTCCCAACCGCTAGCTAGTTCTAAATCAGCTCCTCCTATTTTTTTCCTTTCGCCGCACTCATTACAAAGGCATCACATAATTCTAGCCTGCCTTCGTGTCCCCGAAGAGACAGAAAACACCAGGAGGAAGCGCCACCCCCAGCGTCGATGGGCACACTGTTAGGAACTAATCCTAACATTGAGGTGCACGGGGTGGGAATCAAATGTCCCACAGGAGGTTCCTGCTTCCTTAGGTGGATCCGGCTTTCTGCCCAGCAAGCTCCAGCCCAGAGGAAACGCAGTGCAGTTTCCAGGCACTCCTGTGCATCCAGCCCCCAGCACTGTGCGGGACTCACAGGTCCTGCCCTCAAAACCCTTCCCAAGCCGCTGCGTGAACGGCAGTGGCCCTGGAGGGGTCTGGGAGGCAACTGCTGCACTGTCTGGTTCCCTGGCGGATCTTTTCGAAGTTGGGCACGGGCCAGAGACGTGGGGAAGGGGCAGGGCTGGACCGCTCGGCGGTGCAGAGCACCACGGCGCTGGGACAAGCGGGACGCGTGGGGGAACTCGCGACGCCAGCTGGCGGCTGCGAACGCGGCGGCCCGGCCTGCTAAGGTCCGAGAGGATGGCGTGAGGGCAGCTTGAAGCCAGAGGCGTGTGTGCGCGGCCCCGCGGGGCGTGAGTTAGAGGCCACGAGTTGCTGCGGCCCCAGGCGGCGAGCCTGGCCCAGAAAGCGGCCCCTGGCGGCGGCCGCAGAGTAGCGGCGGGGGCGCAAAGGAGCCCCGGCATTAAGAGCAGGCGGCGCTACGCGGGGCGCTCCGGAAGTGACGTAAGGAAGGGCGCCGAGTACCCAGCCATGGCGCAGAAGGCCGAGGAACGGCCGCCGGAGGAAACCCTGTCGCTCTGGAAACGGTAATGGTGTCGGGGGCGCGCAGCAGCCGGGCGCTGGGACTACGTGCCTCTCCGGTGACTCTCCGACCTCACAGCCCCGGGCTGTGGAGGCAGAGCGGCGGTCCCCAGCCGCCCGGGCTGGCTCCACTTCCGGCGCGAGGCTTCCGGAAGTTGTAGTGCGCCGGCGGGCGCGCGCCCCACTTCCGGTTTCGGGTTTTCAGCGCCCAATGCGGGACTCCCTGGGGCTGTGACCTGAAGGGCGGAGAGGGCATAGGGCCCGGGACGTCGGTTCTGTTCTGGACTGGCGGGAGGACGCTTTTAGGAGCGCTCGCGGGTCTTGAGGAGGGAGAGTCCGTCAGGGGGGGCCCGGGCATGGTTTGACATTTCTGTTCTCTAGGGAGCAAGCTAGGCTGAAGGCCCGCGTGGTAGACCGCGACACGGAGGCGTGGCAGCGGGACCCCGCCTTCTCGGGTCTGCAGAGGGTCGGGGGCGTTGATGTGTCCTTCGTGAAAGGGGACAGGGTCCGCGCCTGTGCCTCCCTGGTGGTGCTCAGCTACCCCGAGCTCGAGGTAACTTGGGAGGGACGCTGAGCCAGGTGCTGGCCCCCCAGGGACTAGCTGCTGCCGGGAGGGGCAGGGCTCCAAGAGGAGACAAAGCCAGGATAGAGCCCAGCGTTTTTGTTAGATTTCCTTTCCCTCTGCCCTGTAGAATTTCGGTTTTGATGCGGGGGATGGAACCCAGGACCTCACACGTGCTTGGCAAGTGCGCTGCCACTGAGCTGCACCTCCAGTCCTTTTGTAGAACTTTGTGAACACGTTGAGGTGTCTTTGAAGGGGGAAAAAAGGGGAAGTCTGCTAAGAATTGACTCAGGATCCTTACTCCCAGTCTGATTGTCATCTTGGGTTGCTCACCTCTGACCAGCTACACACACCCCAAGTTGCCCAAGCTGGAACTCTGCCTTCCTGGGCCCCTTTTTTCCCCTCCTATCGTCTCACACCAGTTCCATTTCTCTGCCTCTTAAGTCTCACAGAGCTCTGTCCCTTGACCCCTCAGCCCCTTCCCTGTCTGTATCACTGTTGTCCCTGCTGTAGGTTACTGAGCTGTGTCTTCATAAGTGCCCTATCTCCTTGGTTGCTCCTTGGTCCCCAGGAAAGTGACCTTGGTTGCTCCTTGGTCCCCAGGAAAGTGACCATGCCACTGCAAATTCTCTTAAAACTCTTCTTTGCCCTTCTCATGACCTCATGGTGAATAAAGCCCATTCTCATTGACATGGTTTGATCTGTTCCCTTCTTGATAGGTCCTGTAGGCTCAGCTCCACTGCCACCCACAGCCTTTCCCACACCCCGCACCCCACTCTGGATGGGTTTGAATCCCTCCACATGCCATGCTTGTCTAGCACCTTGTTCTTTGTGGGCACGTTTCCTCACCTGCATGGCTCCTGCTCCTCTCAGGGCCCAGTGTAGACATTATTTCCTCCAGTGAGCCTCCTATCTCACAAGACCAGGATTTGCCCCTCAGCAATTGGTCTGCTATAGCAAAATGGCCCAGGCTGGGTGACACAAACAGGAGTTTGTGTCTCAGTTCTGGAGGCTAGATGGCCAAGATCAGGGTATCAGCCTGGACAAGTTCTGGCAGTCTTTCAGGTTGTAGACAGTCACTTTCTCACTGTGTCCTCACATGTGATTTAATCACTTCCCCAAAGGCCCACCTTTTAATACCATCAACTTGTGGGCTAGAATTTCAACATGAATTTGGAAGAGCAGGAGGACATAGACCTTCAGACCATAGCAACCCTGAGATTTCTCTTTGTTGCACTAGAGTGGAATTGGCTTATCACCCCTTCCAGAATGTAAACTCCACAATGACTTGCCCACCATTGGTGCCTCCGCACCTGGCATATAGAGAACACTCACACTTGCAAAATCGCTAGCGTGCCTAAGTGAGCAGTAAGCCCGCAGTTCATTTACAGTCAACAGCTCAGGAGCCTTGGCTGCACCCCACCCATTTCAGTACCTCCATTCATTGCTCCTCTGCTCGCCCCCAAAGACAGCAATGTCTTCCTGCCTCTGTGGCTTTCTTATTTGCCTGGAAGCCACTTTCAGTCCCAGTTCAGCACAGGTGTATTGAATTCCCACTTCTAGGCTCTGGATTACACAGTGGGGAAGAAACAACTGCCCTCATAGGTCCCCCATCATTCTGTAGAATGGCACAAGGGGTAAGACTACAGACCTTGGAGCCAGACCACTCCTGTTCATGTCCTAGTTCTGCCACTCCCACCCCACCCTTCTGGGCCTCTGTTTCTTCTTTCTGACTGGGGGTGGGGATGGTGTTACTGCTTACTTCACCGGCTTGTGAGGGTTACAGCTGAGGTCCTGCATGGGAAGCAGCACACTATGCCTTCTCCCTCCAGCTTTCCCTGGCTGCAGACTTCATCACCCACATCCGTATCCTAGGCTCTGCTCCATGCACATGTTCCCACAGCACTTCTCACCTGGTGTGTCACACCTGCCACGTGCAGTTCCACCTTTCCTGCTGACTGTTCTCGTGTAACCCTGACACCCTGCAAGCACCTGTGACATGAATGCTCAGTTGGTATTTGTCCCTTGCTACAGGCTTAGATAATTGAACGATCTTGGAAGAGTCTGGTCCAGTGGTCTCCAAATGCATGACCCAGGATCAGCTGGGAATATGTTTAGTAAATACAGATTCCATCTGCAGACCCCCAAGACAAGAAAGAATCATAGTTACCTAGGCCAAGGGATGGGAGGGGTGGGATGTGACTACTAAGGCCAGGTTCATTTGGAGAAATGAAAGAAAATATTCTAAAAGTAGATTATAGATGTAGTTGTAAACACCAAAAGAAATTGAATTTTACACTTTAAACAGGTAAATTTTATGAAATGTAAATTTTATCAGTAAAGCTGTTTTAAAAAAAAAAAGTAACAATTGGCAAAACCCTGTGTTCAAACCCCAGTAACTGCAACAGAAAAAGAAAAAATCCCAAGCAAATAGTTCACAAGACCCTATCTCCAAAATAACCACAACAAAATGGACTAGAGCTGTGGCTCAAGCAGTAGAGCTCCTGCTTTGTGAGCTCAAAGCCCTGAGTTCACCCCAGTCCCATGCCAAAAAAAAAAGTTTCAAATTCCAAAGCCCCAGCCCTCTTATTGGGAAAAACATCTCCCAGACTAGGGGCTGGGAACCTGCTTTCTCTGATTTGGAAGCAAAGCCCGGGTCGGGAATGACTGGTCCACTTTCATGCAGCCAGAAATCCTTTGCTCAGCATGCCTGCCAAATGGCGGCCTCCCAGTGTAACCCATCCATAACTAGTACCCCGTGGTCAGTGCATTCTTTCCCACAGGGAGCCCAAATTTCTGTCTGACCCCTGCCCAACAGTGCTGCTCCAGGCAGCAAAACACAGAAGGGGTCTTTCCTACTCTTCCACTGTTGGCCAACAGCCCTGTGGCTCCTGTCTGTTCTGTACTAAACGGCTGCAGTAACTTCAGCCCCCTCACTTGCTGGGCCCCTGGTGATGCCCTCAGTCAGCGGGTTCATCTTTACCTCTGGCACCCAGAACTGAGCACAGCATGACAGCCCTAATGTTGAGTCCAGCAGACCCAGCACCCACACACGTCTGTAGTCAGCTGAACACATGGATAACTTCTTAGGGAATGCCTTTAAAAAGCTCTCTAGGTTGTCCCCAGGCTCTTCAGAAAGCTCTCTGGGCCCCTCCATCCTCCACACCTCCGCACAGTACGCACAAGGCTGCTGTCCTCAGCTCCACACCACAGCATGCTTTATTTGCAACCTCAGAGTTTGTCCTGAGCTCTCCTGGCCCTTGGGTCCCCTGTTCTCTCAGCTTGCCCAGCTCCAAGAACACGCCTCTCTTTTACTGAAGATCTGAAGCCCTTCCTAAGCCCATGCTGCCTGCCTTGCTGCTGCAGCCTCAGCAAAGACTGGCTTTTACCTCAGATCCATCCCCTGAAGGGCATCGTGTGACCTCCCGCTTCCCAGGCACCTTCTTGAGCTTTGTCTTTGAACCTGCAGCTCCTGTGTGGGTGGTCAGCAGGAATGAGCTTCAACTGGCAAGAGAGGAACCAGGGAGCCAGGGGCAGGCAGGGCTGAGGCTGACCATCAGAGCTGAGCTCCTGAGAGAGGTCTTGAGGGGCAGGGAGGTGGGAAGGCAGGGAGTTCCTCATACACACCAGGTCCTAGGCAAGCACCTTTGAGACGACAGTTGAATCCCCAGCACCAATTTGCAGGGCAGATCCTCTTGTCCCTTCCTTCACACCCATCAGCTTGCACTGTCTACTGCCAGATGAAGCAGAGATGGGAGCTGTGGGTGGGGTGGAGAGGAATGTGGTAAGCAGTGAGCAGTGATGGGGTGGAGGAAGTGAAGGGAGGGAGCGGAGGCTGCCTACTGACCTGTGGGCTTTTGTGGCAGGTGATGTACGAGGACAGCCGCATGGTCAGCCTGACGGCCCCCTACATATCGGGCTTCCTAGCCTTCCGAGAGGTGCCCTTCCTAGTGGATCTGGTGCAACGGCTGCAGGAGAAGGAGCCAGACCTCATACCCCAGGCAGGTGCCTCACTCCGATGGTAGGAGAGCCTCTCACTTCTGTCTGGGGAGGGAAGGCTCCTATAGGCCACTGCCACTCATAGCCGGAGAGGAGTGGGATTTTCTAAAAGCAGGACCCAGCGGCTGTCTCCCTCTCTGCTGCCACAGGTACAGCAAGGGTGAGCGAGGGCCAGCTCAGTTGACCGAGACTTCCTCTTGCTCCGCAGGTCCTTCTTGTGGATGGAAATGGGGTGCTCCACCACCGAGGTAATCCTGCTCCCGGAGAAAGTGCTGTGGGAGTGACAGAAATGGGGCACTTCCCATGTACCCCCACACATGGCATCTGTTGCTAGTCCAGCACTGACAGCTCCTTTCTAGACTCATTTTCATTGTCAGGACATGCAGTATCCCCCCACCCAAGAAGAGCTCCTCCTCTTCATCCCACCCTTCCTCCCCACCCCCTTGCCTTGCACCTCTGCTGGCCCATCTTCAGGTACAACCATCCAGTGTTGACCTGCAGCTAAGAGAAATCACAGGCCTGAGCTCAGATTGGCCCCACCATACTCCCATTCTGCACTGCCCGTCAGGCCCTTGTCCCAGAGATGCCAGGGACCTTCACCCCGTGAGGATGGCTGAGGTTCATGGACTGTTTTGCCTACCTAAACACAGCAACTAAAGGGGGGCAGAAAGCAGGTTTGGGGCCTCTGTGGTCAACAGGCATGGTGAGGTCTTGGCCACTACCCTCAGAGCCCATGGACTCAGTAGATGCATACTGACCTGGACATACTGCTGGAACCAGCAGGCCACTCCTGGGCACAGGCCCCCAGCCACTTCTATCCAGGCCACCTGCCAGGAGGGCCAGACTGTGAGGCACAGACACAGAGGTCTGAGGGTAGCAGCAAAGGGCAGAGGAAGATGAAAGGCTGTGAGTATGTAAATTAGGCTGCTGACCCTGTTGGAGGGAAAGAGGCACTCTCCACCCCAGCCTTGCACCCTTGAAGTCAGGGCAGAGAGCCTTGTCCAAGGTCAGCTAGGGTCTCAGAGCCAGGGTCCCCAGCGCTCTACCCCTCTGAAGACAAGAGATTCCCAGTTTGTCCCTTCTCCTGCACCCATTTCCAGGCTGCTTGGCTTACAGTTCCCCAACCTACCACCCAGCTTACTCTTTTCTGATCCCTGGCAGGCTTTGGGGTGGCCTGCCACCTTGGCATCCTTACAGAGCTGCCCTGTATTGGGGTAGCCAAGAAGCTTCTACAGGTGGATGGGCTAGAGAACAATGCTTTGCACAAGGAGAAGGTAAGGAGAGCCTATGGACAGCCTGGCAGCTCATCCACTAGGGACCTGGGGTAGCCTTGGGGATGGAGTATGGACCCAGCCACCTCCTGGGCACCCTGGTCCAGCCTAGCCTGCTGATGCACTCCCCACATCCCAGTGCATAGCTCTTGGGTCTCCTCTCCCAGCCTCCTGGCCATGCTTGCCTCTCCCTCGACCTTGCCTCTCTGCCACTGCAGCCCCACTGCAGACTCCAGTTCATGGGGTCAGGATAGGCTTTGCAGCTTTTCCTACTACCATCCCCTCTCCAGAACCTTCTCCCCCAGGGTTTTCCCACAGCCTAGCCTCCAGGGTGTGTTCACAGTGTTGCCTGTTCTTTGGTCCCCACTTCTACCAAGGCCTTCCTGCCACCCACACGCTTCCTCTTGCTTGCCCCACCTCCACTTCTTCCTCCAGCCCTGAGACTGGCACTATGGCTGTGACATCTCCATCCACAGAGAGCTAGTGATATCCAGCTCTCCCACTGGACAGCCTGTCTCTTTCCTCTGGCTCTCAGGTAGAGAGCCCATGTAATGCAAGCTCAATAAGTGCATTTTGAGGTGATGGAGACCCCAGACCCTTCCCAGTCAGTGGGCTGGTCCTCTCCTGACCCAGAAAACAAGGTTTGTTGTGTTGACTCAACAAGTGTGCTCAAATCCCTTGCAACAGTAGAAGCAGCGGGAGGGTAATGGCCTCAGCCTTGTCATAGACTCTGCCCAGGGGCTACACTTATGTGTCCTCCCGCCCACACCTCTGCCTACCAGCTCTATGACCCTGGGCAATGCTGCCCCTTCTTTAAAGATTCAGTATCAGGTTAGATGGGGATCCCATGTGCAGCGTGCCCTGGGCACAGGATCCTGACTGAGTTGCCTCCCGGTGGACTCAGCGCTGCCTCACCCAAGCTCAGCTTCCTTCCATAATTGAGCCCTTCAAACCTTTCTTGAGCTGTGACTGGTTAGTGTTTTTGTTTTCATTTGTTTTTTAGGTTTTTTGTTTGTTTGTTTTTGTTGTACTAGGGTGTGAACTCAGGACCTTATGCATGCTAGGCGTGCACCCTACCGCACCCCCCACCCTTTTTGATTTTTACTTATTTTTCAGATAAGGTCTTGCACTTTTGTCTGGGGCCTGCCTCAGACATGATCTAACTCCATCTCCTGTGTAGCTGGGATGACAGGCATGTGACACTGCACCCAGCCTTGCTGCTTAGGTTTAACGAGGAAGAGGTTTGCCTGTGGTGCTTCACCAAGAAAAGATGGTTTTTGCAAGGTTGTTTTGTTTTGTTTTTCTCTTCTGTTTTCCAGATTCAACTCTTGAAGGCTGGGGGAGATGCATTTCCTCTGACAGGAGATTCTGGGGCCATCCTGGGAATGGTGAGTGGCCTGAGGCCTCCAGATTCCAGGTTAGAGAACTGCACAGCTCCTGCCTACACGAGTGCACACAGACACACACATACAAGCATACATTTGTATGTGTGCACACAAGACCACACCCATTTCTCTGTGTCCTCCTGCCACTCTGGCCAGACACAGTGTGTGATGTGTTTTTCTTTCCTCACCTGGTCCCGATGGGATAGAGGGGACCTCTGGGTCACCCTCACCCCACCTGCCCCAGGAGGGCAGCAGACAGGTACCTGAGGACCTGGAATCCCAGAGCACCTGGGGCACTCTCAGCTTCTTCCTGCCACCCAGGACTTTCTTAGGGCCTCTGACCCCTGAGGCAGGTCCTGACCCCACAGGGAAATGTCTGTGCAGTGCTCTGACTGCTCTCCATGCACAGGCCCTGAAGAGCCATGACCACAGCACCAAGCCACTCTATGTCTCTGTGGGTCACAAGATGAGCCTGGAGGCAGCTGTGCGCCTGACCCACTGCTGCTGCAAGTTCCGGATCCCAGAGCCTGTGCGCCAGGTGGGGGACCATGGTTGGGGACCATGGTGGGGGACGGGGTGGGGGCAGGGAGGGCAGGGGAGTCCAGCACACTTGTCACCCAATCTACACACACACACACACACACACACACACACTCTCTCTCTCTCTCTCTCTCTTTCTCTCTCTCTCTCTCTCTCTCTCTCAGCTGGGGCCAGTGATTTGAGGATAGGTTGATCCTGGGCTGAGGACAGGTCCACAGTCTTGCTGCACAGCCTGGGGTACACTGGCTTGGAGGCAGGAGGGCAGGCCCAAGGAAATGTCACCCAGGAGCACTTGTTAAAGTCCCACCTGCCAGGCTGTGACCACTATGCCCTGCACTCAGCCTCTGAGCCTCACTGAGCCTCCTGCTCCTGGCATCAGGCTGTTCACGGGAGCACCAGTTGAATTGGCTCAGGCCTCAAAGCCCCATCAGCTGCCAGAAGGGGAAGCTGCTGTGGCAAGGCCCATGCAGGATGCCATGGGCAGTGCTAGGGAGGCTTGTGCTGTACCAGGGACACCAGAGGACCTGGGGTGTGGCTGTCTCAGGCACCTGGTACTCACTGTGATGAGCCAGACATCAGCCTGCAGCTGATCACCCAATGCCCACAGCCCAGCTCCTCTGTAATGAGGGGTCACTAGTCACATGCCAGTGCATCCCAGACTAGCCTACAGGTTGAGGATCCAGGAGAACACCCTCACACAGAGACTCACTAGAGAGGACGGAAGAAAGGCAATCTCAGCTCAGGAACAGCATTTGCAAAGGCTGTGGGGCAGGGAGGAGTTTGATGTGCTCAAGAAACAGACTGAGCAGGGTGTTGCAAAGAGCAGGTGGGAGCCTATGTGTGTCTCGGGCTGTGTCAGATTTCAGGTCTCACCTGTAGCCTGAGGCAGCTGAAGGCTGTGAGTCTGCAGTGGAACACTGAAGTTTGCCTTTTCAGGTTGCAGCTCTGTGTGTTACAGAGGCTCTTGGGTCTTTGGGAGTAGCTGAAGGCCACCATCTGGCCGAGGAGCCTAGGGCTGGACTCCCCTCCTCCTCAGTGCTTCAGGCCTCCCTGGCTACAAATGTGTGTGGCAGCCTCCAGGTGGCAGCAGTAGCCTGCACACCACTGTGAAGCACAGCTTGTGCCCAGAGGTGGCTTCAGAGTGGGCTTGTCAGTGTTCCACAGGGAGGAGTCTCCCCACTGCCCTGTCTAGGACATTACTGGGCCCGCAGGTGGGTAAGCTCATGTCCCCTGCCCCAGGAAGTTCATTCTGGTGGCCTGAGAGAAAGCCTCAGAGACCTTTCCCCAAGGCCCTGGACCTCTGAGTTATATGGTCTCAGACCTGTTGGGCACTTTGCCTCCATTTGGTCCAGAGGACAGGGACACCCCCTGAAGGGGGGGTACTTTACCTCCTGTAAAGTACTTGAGACACCTAGAAACAGGGCAGGGTCATAGGCCTAGCACGGGAAAAACCTGCCAAATCGTGGGCCCACATAGAGAAATACCCAGAGTCACAGGACATGTGCACTTACTTAGGAGTACCGCGCTGACTCAGCCCCAGCCCACTGCCTGGTCACAGGTACTACTGCTCTCCTGGTGCCAGGTCCAGGCTCTTCTTCCAAGCTGGACTGCTGCCTACCAGGACTTCCCACTGCCCCCCACTGTGCCCTACCTCCCCACTAGCTGAAGCAGGAGCTAACTGGGGGTTAGTATTGCTCTTTGGGCATCATGTTGCTTCAAAGCTAAGCTAAACCCATCTGAGCCGGGATCATGGGGCTTCCTAAGGCCAGGCCCCTGTGGGGGTCCTTCTTAGACCTAAGCCCCATTTGGTGTCCTTCCTGACCAGGGTCTGTACCAGTCCCCACCTGTGGCCCACAGGCCTCTTTTCATTCTATTCTGGTCACTTTGCCAAAATTATGGAGATGAGCAGGGGTCACAGCCAATACTAGTTGGAGAGACAGGAAATGACCCCAATGTGGGAATAGACTAGCTGACCCGAGAGTTCTCTGAGGAGAGATCCTGGAGGGAAGCAGAAGCTGTGCGCTGCAGTAACACCAACCAGCTCAGCTAACACTGGGGAGGAGCCCCAGGCCCCCTGCTCTGCCTAGTCACCCACCATTTACTTAGGCTCGTTGGAGACCTGCCATGAAGGACCCTGCTGCTCCTGAAGCCTAGAAAGCTGGGCCTGGGGGCCACGATGGGCCTGGGTGGATGGACTTACTGCAGAGGGCATAGAAGCGTGTCCAGGTTGTTGGCAGTGGACAGAACATGTTCAGGAGCAGCTCAGGCCTGGTCACAGCTTCTTACCAAGCTCTGCCTCTTCCAGGCTGATGTCCGCTCTCGAGAGTATATCCGCAGGACTCTGGGACACTCTGGACCACCTCTACCAGGGCAGGAGAGGTGAGAACCTCGAGGATGCACATGAGAGGTTGGTGGTGGTGGCCCAGTCTCTTCCTACTGCAGGGAGAGACTGCAGTGTGCTGCCCACGGCACACTGGAGGGGTCCCTGAAGGAGGAAGAAACTGATATGGACTCCAAACCCCAGAACCCTCCCATGGCCTCTCAGACTTGAGACCCACCTCCCAACAGGACTGCCCCAGCCTTTCCTGGCCCACTTAACCTGCAAGGGGCCCAGGCCTGGGCTCCACAGAAAGAGGGCAGCCTTTAGAGTCAGACATGGTATGCCCTGCACAACCAGGGCCCATGTCATGTGCCCTTTCTGAGCCCCACTTTCCCTATCTGCAAGTCAGGTACAGTAACTCTTGTCCTTCTGGGTTTAAGCTACAGTGAGACTGCCTGGCACAGTTTCAGCCAGCTGGTTAAGCCTGGCAGCAGACTTGCCAGGAAAGAGATAAAATGATCCCCCTTTACAGATAAGGCATGGAGCATTAGTAAGCAGCAGAACAGGTGCAGTCAGCAGCTTGAATTCTGAGCCCTGTCTCTCTTGTTCCTTATCTCCCAAGGAAGACTGGAAGGTGCCCACCGTTGGCTGATGAGGTGGTCAAGGGCTGCACCTCCCTGGTGCTCGTTTCCCTGACTGCAGTTCCTAGGCTTAGCTAGACTGCTACCTAGCAGAGGGATCTGAGGCTACTGGAAACTCTTCCACCCACTCCAGTTTCTCAGTGGTGGGGATGGCAGCCTGAATACACGGTGAACCTGTCAAGATGGCCACCAAGTTCTGCCCAGCCCTCTGGCCTGGGCCCTTCTGCAGGCCTTCCAAGAACCACTGGGGAGCTGGGGGGGGGCTTCCTGCTGGCCTGTTACTTGATCCTGCCCTTTTCTTGATCTCATTACCAGGAGCCAGAAGGTGCAGAGACCAAAGGTATGCCCCAAAGAAGACTCTGAAGCACCCAAAGGAGAGGACAGTGAGGACCACAGCAGAGGCCTCATGACAAACCTGGAAGCCCCACAGTCAGGCTCCCAAGAGCAGCAGAGCAAGGGTGGGCAGTCTGGAGGAACTGAGCACCATGAAAACTCAGGCTGCCAGCCTCCCACTGCACCTGGGACAGTATCCAACCTGGGGAGTCAGTCTCTAGGGACTAGGAAACCTCCCCCCACAGCCATGGGTACCACACCAGACCTCAAAGACACACTGACCAAAACCCAACAGGACGCAGCAGGCACAGTGCAACCCTGATAGAAGGCTGTTCCAGCCTCTCCTTTGAATACGATCTGCCTGTGCCTGTTGTTTTTATTCTCAGGGTTCATTTTTTTACACCAGTCCCTGCTACCCATGATAAGCACCTCTGCGGCTGAAGGGCTCCAAGCTTCATGGCCAGGCTTTGGTCCCCACTGAGCCTGGCCTCCAGTCTGCCTGCTGCTGCACACACTGGGCCATGGTGGGGAGGCAGGAGGTGTTGAGGTTGCAGGAAGTCAGTTGAGGCCTATGGCCCCTGGGCCAGAGAACTGACCGTGCCTCTGTTCCTGCTGACCTTGTCCCCCTGGCAACCTCAGAACCCTGCCTGCTGGGAAGCAGCTCTGTTCCTGCCCAGTCTGCCTGCTTCCTCCAGGTGGCCTTGAAGTGGCAGCTAAGAGGTCAGCCCATCTTCAATGAGATCTCAGTTTGAGTCTTTCCTCCACACCCCCAGACTCTAGGCTCCCCAAAGTGGAGTTCGCAAGTTGGGAATGGCTGGCTGCCAAATCCTGTGTGCCCCCTGACCCCAGCTCTGAATCAAGATAGAAGGTGGATCCTAGTACAGATGGAGGGAAGGAAGGAGGGAAGGGAGACAGACATGGAAAGTGGGTTAGCAATGGAGGGGCAGAGGTGTGGAGGGAGACTTGGCCACATGCCAGGAGTGATGGGCTCTAGCTGATCCCAAGGGACAGTTCTCCCACGGCATCCAGACCTGACCGGGTATGACTGAACTGCCAGGTGTTCCACCTGAGCCAGTGCAATGGAGTCAGGACTCCTGGGTGCAGGTCTTCTGCAGCCTCTGTTTTCTCATCAGGACTTGGGGGGCCCCAGACATGAACATAAGTGTAAGGTCTTGGACACCCTATAAGTGAAGCGTGTGTCAGTGGGAGCCTGGACCCAGGAACAAAATATCAGTGGGAAGAGGGGAAGTGGCTTGCCACTAAGCACCTGATATGTGGATTTGCAGAGGTATGTGTGAGGGATAGCAGAACCGCAGTGGAATTCCCCAGCACTATCCCCCTAAAACTTCCAAATGTCAACAGCCCAAGTAGGCTATTCGAGGCTCTCTAGGGGTGCCCCTCCACTGAGCTTGGCTTTGGGCACATCCTCTATGGGGAGCAGGAAGCCAGGAGTCCTTCAGCATTGCTATGGGGAGGGCTAATTCTTCCTAACTCCAGGGTTCACACCTCTCTGCGACCCCTTCCCACACTGGTCACCAGGCCCACTGAGGCACAGGTGGTACAGGTGCCTGCCTCTGAGGCAGACGTGGAGAAGGCAGGGCCTTGGGGTGCAGGGGACCTGAGCAAGGAGATGCTGGCCACAAGGACCTGGCAGTGCCTGGATTCTTGCCTGCTGCCCCCAGGTACTCACAGGATGGGAAAACATAGCCCTTGGCTGGGGGCCCAGACAGCTGTGGCCTTGCTCCACCCACCTGCAGAGTCAAGGTGCTCTGAGCTGGTGCCCAGGACACAGTCAGAGTGCTCTGGGCTGCAGGGTCTTTGGGAGAAGTAGCTCTGGCCGTCTGTGCCCCAACCCACACAAACACGTGACACACACGCACCCCTCATGTTCTCTGGCATCCCCTGGAAGCTGGGCCTGGAGGGCTTACAGCTGGCCCCACCATCTGCCCTCCTAAATTCTTCCAAATTTTTCCCTACCAGAGCTCTGCCAGGAATGGGGTGGGGGAATTGGAAGAGCAGGATTGAGGCTGAGCAGAGCTGGCTGGGATCCGACTGCCTCCACCCTGAGCTTGCTGGAGGGCTGGGCAGCTCAGAAGTAACTTCCCCACCCTCCCTGGCCCTGTAGACCCCAAGCAAACAGCAGCAGCTTCAAGCACACAAACCCCTCAGTGATGAGCAGCAGTGACCATGGCCACCCCCATGCTGAGGGCTTGGCCAGAACCTGCAAGGGGTCTACCACCATGTGTGGTCACTGTGTCCCCACATGGCCAGAGCCTGGAAGCAAGTTTACAAATAACTTTTGTGTACTTTTTACTTGTTTTGAGATAAAATCCAGCACTTTAGTCATCAATCATATTGAAGTGTGCAACTCCTTGGCTTTTAGAATAGTCATTGTAGCTGGGTATAGCGGTGTACTCCTGTGGCCAGCTACTCTGGAGGATGAGTCTGAGAACACTTGAGCCCAGGAGTGCAAGGCCAGCCTGGGAAACATATAAAAAGAACGTTCACAACCATGCAACCTCTACACTGTTTACTTCCAGAACAGTCTCATTACCCCAAAGGGAAACCCCAGGCCCATCAGTGGTCACTCCATGCCCCTCTGGCATTGACTAGCCGGCAAACACTAGTCTGCTTCCTGTGAGGGTCACCTGTCCCAGGTCTCCCCTGTAAGTGCAGTCAGCCATTCTGTCCCACGCGGCCTTCTGCGTCTGGCTGCTTTCACTTCCATCATGTTTCAGGGTTCATCCGCGGTGTGTCACGTGTCAGTGCTTCACTCTTTTTGGGGACTGAGTGATGGAGTCGCATGCTTTGTTTACTCATAAGTTAGTGGGTATTTGGGTTCTTATTTGAGGACCATTTACAAGTGATGCTGCTATGGACATGGAGGTACAAGGTTTTGTGGGACACATTTTCTGTTCCGTGGGTTTATATCTAGGCGATAGATTGCTGGGGCCTATGGTAACCCTGTATTTAACTATCTGAGAGACCATCAAACTATTTTCCACAGTGGCTGCCCCATCGTACAGCCCGTCAGCAGTATGAGGGCTTGTTTCTCCTTGTCTCCACCAACACTTGTTTCTGGCTGTCCTTTGGATGCTGGCCATCCTGGTGGGTGTGGAGCTGTATCTCACTGTGGGCTTGATTTGCATTTCCCTAGTGACTAATGATGTCAAGCACCTCTTATCTGCTTGTTGGCCTTTTGTGTATCTTCTTGGGAGAATGTCTATTAAAATCCTTTGCCCGTATTTTAAAAATTGGGTTACTCATCTCTGATGCTGAGCTGCAAGGGCTCTTCATATATTCTGGATCCTAAGTGGTTGTAGTTCGTGTCGCTAGGAGTTTGGTATCTGATTAGCTGACACATTTGTTCATGATATTTTCTTTCTATGTCCAGGAAGTCCTTAAACATGTTCTAGCATGAAGCCAGGCATGGTATCTCATGCCTGTAATCCCAACTACTCAGAAACAGGAGGATCCCGAGTCCAAGGGCAGCCAAGCAAAGTTATAAAGACCTTATCTCAGAACAAAATACAAACAGAAGGGGTGGGAGTGTGGCTCAAGAGGTGGAGTGCTCGCCCAGCATGTCTGTGCCCTGGATTCAGTCCCTCCTTTTAATCCTGCCCTTGGTAACTCAAGTCCTCTTTCTGGGGTGGCTTCTGGGAAGGGCTTCCACAGTGGCCTGACAAAGAGGAAACAGTGGGGGGACAGGGTGTCCTGCTGAGGACCCACCTAAGCCCAAGACTCAGAATGGCAGAGCTCAGCTTACATTTGCCTCATGGCTTTCACTGACTCCCCAAGCAGACAGTCACCTCCTCTCCTGCCCACAAAGTCCTTGGAGGGGTGTAGGGCCCAGGAGCAGGGCACAGAGGGCACGGGCAGTGGGCTGCCCCTCTGGGAAGCTCTGCTGCAGGTTGGGGTTTAGAGGTGTGGAGTCCTGAACTTTAAAGGGCCTAGACTTTAGTGTGCGGGGTGAGGGCGGGACAGAGCATGGGTACAAGGGCCCCTGATGTCCTGTCTAATGGCCATGTCATCAGCCATGAGAGAGACTCCAGTCCACCCCTAGGCAGTGAGTAGTGACAGCCCAGAGCTGGCTGGGCCTCCCCCAACATGCTGCAGGGGGCTGGGCTTGGGGGAGTAGGGTGCAGGCCAGACAGCAGTGCCCAGGAACAGGGGGCCCCTGGGGGCCCTAAGTGCAGTGGCGTCTCAGCTCCTTCCCACAGAAACTTAAAAATAGGGCTCGGAGATGTCCATCTCGGCAGACCACAGCTCGCTGGAGCTAAGAATATTCTTGAAGCTCTTAATAATTCAAGTCGGATTCAAATAGATTTTTCTGTTCACCTGCAGCTGCTGTGCCCCGCCCTGCTCCAGGGGCTAGGAGGGACAGGCTGCCACTCTGGGTCCCAGCCTGTCCCCTTCCCCTCTCCTGTGGCAGTCAGGAGTGGAGGGTGCACTGGCCAAGGCCAGCCCAGTGAGAGGTCCAAGCCCACCCTCATCCTCCACCCAAGCACTGGACCCTGGCCGCTTCCTCATCCTTTCACCAGAGCCACAGGCCCTCCTCTACAGGGCTTTGTCTGGGGCTCTGTGTCCTAGTAGGGGCAGCTGTACATGGTTCCAGTCCAAAGCTTCTAAGCTGTGTGCTGTGCATGCTTGACTAAGTCACTTTACCCCTCCGTGCCTCTTTCTTCATCAGTGGGATGGTAGCATCAGTGTCTGTACCACTACCCCAGGCCTGGGCCACCTTCCCCTCCAGGACCAGTGCCAAGCTGTAGACGCCCCAGGTTCTGGACTTTCACAGAGGCAGGAACTAGGGAGCCTGTACTTGCCGCCTAGGGGGGCTGGGGGCTCACCAGCTTGGCTGTCCGCTGCAGCAGCAACCTCCTGCCCTGCCCTGCCCTGCCCTGCCAGGCCCTTTGCAGAGTTTTACCAAATTACTAATTAAAGGCAAAGGCATGAGGCGGCTGCTTCAGGCTGACATACAGATAAATGGCGTGCTGAGTAACTAGGCTGGTGTCACACAATGATGGAGCAGCACTCCGCTCCCTGTTCACCTCCAGAGTGGGTGGGAGGGAGCAACCCCTCTACCCACCGCCCGGGGGCTGAATGGAGCCCCGGCGGTAGTGATGGTACCAAGACATGGCCTGCAACAGGCCTGACTCTCTTCCCACAGGGCAGGCACCCCCTCCCCTCTGTCAGGGCTTTAGATAGACAAGCAGGCAGACCTAGGGAAGGTAAAACACAGGAATCCAGACTCCAAGAAGGCACCCAGCAACTTGGCCTCCTCCCACAGCTGTAGGGCCTTTCCTGGTAGATGGGAATGGGGACAGTCTGGGTAGTTTAGGTTTTTAGTTATTTAAAGTTCTTTTATGTTTTCTTTTTCCTATCCAGAGCCACACAGTCACAGTGTCTATAAGGCTTGCAGTGAAAGCCGGCACCTCCTTACTCCCTGCGTTCCTAACTCCCCCTTCTCAGGCCACTCTCTGTTATTTTAGCGGATTCTTTGGCTAGTGACTTCTAAACAGTACACTAAAGCTGCTGTTTTTCTTCCTTTCAGTTGTTTAAATTGCCCCTTGACTTCTGCTGTAGGGGTTGAAGTGTGTTCTCTTACAGTAACCCACACGCAGGCACGCACGTCTTCCACCGATCTCGTTCCAATAGTCAGGATCCAGTGCCTGTGTCATTATTTTTTCGCATATACAGTCACAGCTGAGTAATGTATTGTAATTACATTTCTTTTCTTGTACCAGCTCTTGTTTTTCCTGGGCTTAATAATTGCTTCATTTGGAGGGGAGGTAGTTAATTTTTGATATCCCATTAGTTACTTATCCTCAAGCCCTCCAATGGAATAAAATATAATACAGACCTCTTTTTGGTGCATTAGATACAGTAAGTCATCCACAAGCTAAATTTTCTTCCTGGAGCCTGTGGCCACCAGCCTCCAAGATGGCCCCAGCGACCCCCATTCCTGGAAGGTGTGTGCCCTGCAGGACACATGAAACAGGCAGAAGCCATGGTGTGTCACTCTATTTGGGGTTTCTTTGGTCTGGCTCTGGGGTGCAGCCCCTCCTGCTCGTATCCCTTGCTTCCCTCTGTTTTGCACTGCCCCTTTGCTTTGATGCTGGAGAGAAGATGATGACAGCTCCTTCCCCTCTCAGAAACCAGCGTCCCTCGTTGACTGTCCAGCAGGAAGACTGAGACTCTGACCGATTTTGTTTTAACTCCCACAAGAGCTCTTGTACTGGTTTGGTTTGGTTTCTAAGGTACACACACCCCATGACTTCATGTGTCTGTCACAGCCTCAGTGTGAATTGCACCATCACGCCACACACGTTTGAAGGTCACTGTCTGGAGGACCCTGCAGTTCCTCCTCTGGGCCCACAGAGCTGTGTGGAGCTGAGGCTGAGGCTGCCTGTGTCAGTCAGTTTTTCATTACCACAACAGAATTCCTGAGAGAATCACCTCGAGGGCTCGGAGGTTTCAGTCCATGGCCACAGAACCGTTTTATGTTTGTTTGTGTGTTTGAAAGTTTTAGCAAGGATTTATTTTAGTATAACAGGATAAAGCAGAGATGGGGGAGGGGAGAAAAAGGGAAACATTTCCTGTTCCCCACACAGGAAATGGGAGCAAAGACCCCAGGACCCTATTGTTTTGGGGTCTGTGGTGAGGTAACACATCATTGCCAGGAGCCAAGCTGCCCACCTCATGAC